ACTTAAAATGAACCTACATTGGCTGCACTTGCAAAAAAACAATTACAAAAACCCACAAATGTAAAAAAATTAGAGCACGAGTCCAAACAAAAAAATTGGAAATTTTATTGTATAAACTTTGAATGTAAAGAAAAACAAGGCTTTTTTTATTGTGGCTAATAAACAAAAAACTACTTAAATAAAGAATAGAAAATGAAATATTTTTTAACAAGTTTATTTTGCATTGTTTTTTTTTTTTTAAATGAATGCAATTACTTTTATAAATAACTGATTTAAAAACAAACAAAAAAGTACTAAAAGAAATATTATTATTTTAACTTTTATAAATTGCTTGAAACTTGCTAATTTATACTTGTTGTTTACCAATTATTACGTGTTATAGTCAAACTATTGCTTGCGTAAGGTTGAGTTTTTATCATTATATTAAGAGTTAGAAAAAAAAGTTTTCTTGATATTATTCAATAAAACTTTTTATTTAAAATCCAAAATACTTTCCCAACAAGCATTAAAACACACTATTTTACTTTCCCAACAAGCATTAAAACACACACTATTTTACTTTCCCAACAAGCATTAAAACACACTATTTTACTTTCCCAACAAGCATTAAAACACATTATTTTACTTTCCTAACAAGCATTAAAACACATTATTTTACTTTCCAAACAAGCATTAAAACACACTATTTTACTTTCCCAACAAGCATTAAAAACACACTATTTTACTTTCCCAACAAGCATTAAAACACACTATTTTACTTTCCCAACAAGCATTAAAAACACACTATTTTACTTTCCCAACAAGCATTAAAACACACTATTTTACTTTCCCAACAAGCATTAAAACACATTATTTTACTTTCCCAACAAGCATTAAAACACATTATTTTACTTTCCAAACAAGCATTAAAACACACTATTTTACTATCCCAACAAGCATTAAAACACACTATATCACTAATAAAGTAAAGGTTGTTTTTTGCTTTTTTAATTTCATAAAAATTAGCTTAAGTTTTCAAAAGTATATATTTGACTAAAAAAAAGGTTTTGATCATTAAGTTTTGTGCTCTAAATCGTTATTTTAATTGAGAAACTTTTACTTAAATTTTAGTTCAACTAAAATTATTGATAAATACTAGCTGGCCGGACCCTTTAAATACGAGTTTTGGTTGATTTTTGATTGAAATTCCTAACAAAATAATAAATAATACTATTGAAATGCAAGTTAGTAAAATTTATGCTTCATTCAAAATTTTTATAAATATGTACATAAAAATTAATCACAGTTGTTAGCTAAAGTTTAATAGTACTTTTTATTGTATATTAGTACTAGCAAAAATCACAATAGTATAATACTAACAAAAGAACAATTGTTTTTAATAACTTCTGTTTCTTTTGCCAATGCTTTTTTTGATGTTAAGGTATATTTTTGGACATGTTGTTAAGTACTAAACAATTCAGTGCACACCAGTTCACAAAGCCGTTTTCTTGAGCAAAATCGATTGTGTAAAACATTTTCAATGCCATGATCATTATCTGCACTAGGTATTTAAGCATCGTCATTGTCAACTGGGTTTAGATATGCCTAACTAAGAATAGCCTGAGGATTTAATGGATAAATTCTACACGACTCGGACTCAGATGTAATGTTTCTAGAAGTCATTGTTTTTTCTTAAGCTGAAGCAAATGTCCATGCAAAATTTGAACGGCAAATACCATTTCCTAGAACGATATGGGACTGTAGAACGATAATAATCCTTCAGTGAATTAAGCAAGATGCGGTAGCATGTTTGAAGCCAGTTTTTTAATGTGTGTGAAGGTATTTCAACTATGTGTATCTGGTTTTGGATAGCAATATCAATTAGTTCAAAAAAGTTGTGACAGTTGTACCCACCCAGAATCAATAACTGCTGATGTTGCGGACCAATGCGTTCTGAAAATGTCCTTGTAAACCATAGTTTTGCTAGGCCCTGTTTAGTTGAATCTTTTTCGGACCAACTTCAATTTGTTCCAAGAGGTGCGGAATAAGTGTTAAAACCACATAAAGTCCTGGATGTCTTTCCCTTTACTATAACCTAAGGTAAAATGAACTTACCATATGCATTCACACATGCAATAATAGTGATTCACTCTTTAATTCCATTTGTTCGACTATGGAGATTTTTGTGCCTTATCGTGCAACCGCTTTTCTTGGTTTTACGTCAAGTTGCAGACCAATTTAATCCATATTCCATAAATCATTCTTCACTATGACGTCATTAAAAGCACTAAAGTACTTTGAACCTTTTTCTTTATTCGTGCACTGCTGTCGAACTGAAGCTGTACCCTCAGGTTGTCGCAGAGTAAATTTATGCCCATGCTGGCTTTTAACTCTAGTGTATAACTGGTTGCTTAAAAGTCCTTTCTTAAAGTTAAGTTTATGCTTTGTAGCAAGTTTCCCAGCATAATTTAGGAACTGTGAATTTCCAAAACCTACCCCTAAATATGCTCTATTGCTGACATAATCGTTAAAATAGTAATAAGTTTTTCTTCGAAACAAAAAGGTAGGGTAGGTTTTCTTTCTGGCTTTGTTCCAATAACAACTTTTCCAGAGAGTCTGTCTCTCAGTGTTGTACATGGCACATTTAACAATGTGCCATGTACAACATGGCACATTGTTAAATGTGCCATGTTGTACATGGCACATTTAACAATGTGCCATTTTTTGTTAATTTTACTTATTTGCGATATTTTTTTGTTCTTCTGCTTGCTAATTCATATTGTTTTGATGAACATGAGCTATTTATACAACTACTCATTACTCAACGCAGGGTCATAGTACTGTAACTAGCAATTTATTTTTTAATTAGTTTTATTTCTATAAACTGAGGATGCGTATTATTTTGAATGCAATTATCAAGTAAATTTGGGGTTCAATTTTACGCTAATGCCAAAAATGTTAAATTAAGGGTAATTAATTTATAAAATAATATTTTCAGTTATATATAGAATAAAAATACTTATAAAATATACTTCTTTGTAAGCATTTAAAAACCTTTAGTTCTTTATATGTATCTTTACGAAATTTTTTGGTTTTGAATATTTAACTTCTAAATATGTCATTCCGATTTAATCAAAAAATAATGGGGTCACGGCGTAAGGTTTTTTTGTTAAAACTGCTGGTAGCGTAAGTCTTAACATAACATGCTGCATTTATTCTCGCCCACCCAGGCGAGTTTTAATGTATTGGGCAACAACATATTCATTCTGTGGGCGAGATTTTGGTAGGTTGAGCAGAAAACAATTTTATGCTTATTCTACCATTTCAAACCGTTATAAATGTTATCACAATCACGGAATAAACAGTGGTAAATTAAATTATAATCTAAAAATGCACAATGAATAGTTAACTTGTTAGAGTTGTATTAGCTGGTTTGAATTTAGACGATATTTCGTCTGAATTATTTTTTCCCGTGAACTTTGGAAGTAAAAAAATCAAACGAATTATCGTCAAGTTTGAATTCGGCAAATTAAATAGCAACAAAATTACCGAAAACCAACCAAATTTTCTTCAAGAGATACTTCTTTATTTACGGTTTTTTTAAGTTCAAAGTTGTTTTAATTTGCTTTGAGGGTTGGTTTGTTTCTCTAAATGAACGTCTTATTGACAATGCAGCGTGTAAGTTAACTGACATAAAACAATTAAAGATGATGGGCGATATTGAGTGATTGGCAAAATTATGTATAGTTACTCTAAACATATAATAAATTATCGAAGGTATCTATAGAGTCGTTTCAAAACTTGACAAACTGACTTTAGCTACAGTTGCTACAGTCGATTAGGCATTTTATTTAACTCCAAGTCCAATTTGATTTAATAATCAAATTAAAAATTTAATTTATTTATTAAATTATTTTAATAAATAAATTAAATTTATTTTAATAAACTTAATACACAGCAAAATGTTTGACATTCCATTAAAAATTATGGGCTTGTGAGACACATTTCTCACTGAATAAGAAATATTTTCTTAAAATAGCCAGTTTGGCTCAACTACATTTGAAAAAATTTTTTATGTGCCGCATTTTGACTACTTGTAACCTCCATATCTTGTTTAAATTATTTTTATTTTATATATTACATATATAAATACTTTGATGATGACGCTCAGTGGAACGTGGAAGTTTATCTCATCAATTTTGTGCATGTATTTAAAAATCTGGATTAAACCACTTTTTTGCCTTCATTCTGCTAGTGTTGTGAGGCTTAAAATAACTCTTCTCTGCATAGGGGTTTTATGTTTAATAGAAGAAACTATTTTGGTACCACGGATTTGGACTTTCTCCATCGCGTCGATGTCTTCCTGTTAGTATGGTGAGAACACCTGGATGGCGTACTCAAGGTGAAGTCGAACATACGAGGTTTATCAAACGTATATTTAAAAATGTACCAGGTGAGGTATTATCAATTATAGATTTTCCTTTTTAAGGTCCAGTTTTTTTTATCTTTTATAGCAACACCACTAGCAATAAAGTATTTTTTGTCAATTTTATTTCATAACTAATTAATTTTTTAACCAAAAAACTTGATAGTGTATTAGCACTTTTAAATTTTACAGCTTGAAACACAAAGTTTGGAAAGTCCTACTCCTGAAGAAAATATTAGAAAATGTTTTTTTATAATTTGTTTTGCTTGATAAAACTTTAGAGTGTGCTCGTCAACAATTACTTGAGGAAAATTTAAGAAAGTTTACAAAAATTGAGAAAATTTTTTAATATTCATAGAAGAATGCTACTTATTGTGGATGCGGAAATTGTTTGATCAAGATATTGTTTATTATTTGCGATTTTATATTAGCACCACAAAAAAAAAAACTTCAGACGCACCGTAAAAATTGCTATAGTTTAATTTAATTGGATTTTAGGTTTTGCTTTGGGAACTTAACTGGATATGGGAACAAAACAAAAAAATAGTTTTTAAATATACGAATTTTAAATAAAGCTAAGTAATCAATTTTCTATTAAAATAATTTAAAAATTATAGTTGAAAAAATATAGATTAAAAAAAAAATTATACAGTATTCATTATTTTACAGCTAAAAGCAAAAGTAATCAATTTACAAAAAAACTTTTTTATTTCCAGGACCGACGACACGAATTTTGAAGTGAGGGAGAAGGAGGGGGCACAATCATCAATTTGTGAAAAAAGTCCTTTATATCAAGATTTTCCTTAAAAAAAAAAAAAAAAAATCCCTGACCCTTTGATGTCGTCGGCCCTAATTTCAACGGTATTCGGTTTAAATCGCATAGCAAAAATATAATTCCTATTTGGGATAAATTGTTAGATAAAAGTTAGATAAAGACGTATACGATTGTAATTAAATTCTCATTTAGTTTGTGACAAGCAATGTGGATGTAGTTATCAGTGATTTTAAGTCAAGTGAGCTAATTATTATTGTAATTATTAAAAAATTTAATTAAAAAATTAATCTAAAGTTAATATAAAAATAATTAAAAATGTTTTTATTTTGATTCTCTTTTCGTCGTTTATGATTTCAATAAGAAGGCTTGTTCTTCTTTTTTTTTATTCTACGTCTTTTCTACTTCTTTTAATTTCTTTTTTACTTTTTTATTTCTTTTCACTATATTTTTTCTTCTTTTATCTTCGCAATTATTTGTTGACATATCAACTCGTGAGCATCAAGGACTTTACAATCTTTTAATACGTTAATAAACTCTTGTATTGTTGTAGATCTTTGACTTGATAAAATATCTATCAATTTTTCTGTGGGACTGTATGCATTTTGGTGCATGATTGTCTTCGCGATTCTGTTGACATCTTCTTTAGAACCAAGGAGTTCAAAAGCAACATCTTTCCAGGGTTGGTCATTAGCGTTAAAACTGATAAGTTTGTAGCTAAAACTTGTTAAATGTATTTTATTAATATTGGAAACTTTTTCTTCGTCTGAATATTTGAAGCTTTCTAAACACTCTAGTGCGCTATTCAAACAAAAAGTTTTCAAGCACTTGCACAAATCTTTGATTTTTAAATCCGGTTTATATTGTTCCAATTTTTCAAATAACGACTTAGCGGGATTTCCACCACCGTATAAAGCGAGTAGAATCTTTACGCGATCATTTTCGTGTAATTCTAAATAATCCACGATATCATTAAATCGTTCATTTTGATCCAAATTTTTAATCAAACGGGATAAACCTTCACGATAATCTAAAAACACAACTTTACTTTTTTATCTTAGATTTCATACAGTTTTTAACCATTCCACGTAGATATTAAAAGCGCTTTCTTTTGTTTTGTTATATTATGTATGTTACATAATATAACAAGCAAAAGAAAGTAATATACCTCATATGCGTAACATACCTACAAAAATGTTTTTTTTATGAGATATGCTACGCAGTCAGTAAGTTACGAGTCAAATAAACGTTAAAGCAATTCCAATTTCATCACTTTTTTAAATTGAATTTTAAACTCAATTGAGAAACTCACTATATACTGAAAAAAAAATTGAATTTATTCATCAGATCAATTTTTACTGATAGCTTTTAAGGCGAGTTTCCACTTATCCGTTTTTCTACGGGAAAGGGAAAGGGAACGGAAAAATAATCACGTGAGCATTCGCAGTTTTCTTTCGGACAAATAAAAAATTATGTTACGCATGCTCACGTGATTATTTTTTTCTTTCCTATCCCGTTCCCGTTAAAAAACGGATAAGTGGAAACTCGCCTTTAGTGTCCTTGGTAACTTGGTGACTTAATTTAAACCAAAAACATTAAAATTCACCTTTATGAAGTTTTTCGTATGGCTTTCTTTTTTTGATTTCTATATGACTTCTACTTTAATTTCAGTAACAGATTAAAACTTTTTTGATTAGTAAAAACATTATGGAAAGAAAAGTTGAAAAACTATAAGCTGATTTTATAAAGTTAATTTTTACCTTAAAAAAGAAAACAATTTCTTATAGAACTATTGAAGATAGTATATATTAGAATGATTTTGCAATTTAAGAATGAGTAGACACAATTATAATGATCATAAAAACAAATCATTAACAGATGTGCCTTGATGTAAAAGGAATGCTTTTCCTCTGTATATATTAATAATATTTAATCATACTTTTATAAAATCTGAATACCTTTATAAGTACTAGGGATGCAACAATACATTTTTGATATTTGGACTTGAAACTTTTTTTTTTTTCAAAATAAATCAAATAGTACCAAACACGAACAACATTTACAAAAAAAAAAAAAAAAAGGTGGATGATGTTTTTGACTTTGTTTTTAGTACTATTTGATTTGTTAAAAACAACAATACTTTATAAGCCCGTTATCGTTGCTTCTTAACTATTGATATTTGCGTTTTTTACAGCAATAAATTTTAGTGGACGAAGTCACTATTGAACAACGTTCTTTAGCGACTTCGTTTTTAATACTATTTGATTTATTCTTTAAAAAAAATAGTTTGTAAGTCCCAATATTGATTATGAATCGAATATAAATCGAAAATGTATCGTTGCCTTTCTAATAATTACTAAAGAAAATGATTTATTTATCTTATAAGTAGTAGCAAAATACGGATTAACCATACTAGTAACCATATTTAATAATTTTTTTCAGGTAGTATTATAACCATAATTTATGATAAAAAAGAAAAATATAATAAAAAAAGAAAAAATAATAATAAAAAAAAAGTTAAAAAAAATTTTTTTTTTTCTTGTCAGAGACATTTTCATTTTCAGGGGGTTTCATTTTCATTTATAAACAAATTATTATATAATTAGTTTTAGTTACACAATATACTTATTATTTTTTTAAAAATTTTATTTCAATTTTTTTCTTAAGCGTAATAGTAAACATGTCCTAACAATAAACAAAAACTTCTAGATTGTCTAATTTGTGCATCACTTGAGTTCAGTGTAACTACGATTCTTCTACTATTAGTAAGGCTAGGCATACTTTCAGATCGATCAAAATTTTTATTAAATGAAACTGTAGTTGTTGGACCAATTGAAACATCAAATGAATTATCAATTGAACTTTGTCTGAATTTATCAACACTCATTTTAGTTTTTATAGCATTTTAATTTAATAAAAATCTAGATTTCGTTTAGATTTTTATTTAATTATTATCACCATAGAGTTTTTAGAATACTCTGATAATCATATCCTTCATCTAGTTTTTTTAAAAACATATAGACAGAAGTGTCCAAAAATTGAAGATTCTCCAAACTGAATTCTTTCACTATTATAATAGCTTGGACATTTTGAAGAACTTTTTAAATAATGAACTAGTTCAACTGGTTGTGGGAATGCGTAAGAGTCAAAACTTAGTTTTTTATTTCTGTCTTTATACCAGTAAATCCAATGAAATCCATTTGTACTTGAATTTCCTGTATTTAATATTCCACATTCTTTTTTTTGTGTATTTTTAGGTAATTCATCTCTTGTAAGTGGTTCATTTGGTAAAATAATTCTTTCAACATTGATGTTTACTCATTTTTTCATTAATATATTTAGATTATTTAAAACCATTCAGATTTTTAAAAAATATTACTTGTATACTTACTTGTGCTTATAGACTCGGCGACCTCGTTGTGCCTGTGCTTATGTTTATGCCTGCCTGTGATTCTTATTCTTATGCTGTAATACGGTAATGTCCATATGCTAATGTATGTATACCATCTTCTAAATTAACTCTTTTATCATCTGCTGCGTTTAATGCTATTTTATTAACTTTTTCTGTGTAAATTTCATGTAAATGAGATCTTATTACATTCATTTTTCTCATAGATCTCTCATGCTTAGCAGGCAGTCTTTGTAACCTTCATGTGTTATATATTTTTTAACAACATTTTTCTTTTATTCCTTTACATTTTTTATAGTCTTTTTTATCTACTTTGTAAGCATACAACTTTAATCTGAGTCCTACAAATTCTTCAACTTGTGCTCCAGCTGATTCATCTTTAAACATTCCTATAACTGTTTTATTAACACCAACTTTAAAACCAATTTTAATTGCTGGATGTTTTGGGTTAAATTCACTTGTATCAAATTTGCTATCAACATCATTAGAAATATCTTTATAAAAGTCTTCTGCTTTTATTTCATATGCTAAAGAATCTGTATCTGTGAATAATAGTTTTGCTTTATCAGAATATTTATTTTTTATGTAATCATAGTGAAATTCATACATTAGTGTCTTACTTAAATCTAGGATGCACATAAGTAAATAGGTTTGTTATATAATAATTTTGTATTAGTTCATATGGATTTTCATATGGATTGCTATTAAGTTTTCAACAAATATTGTTCTACTTTCACAGTTGGGTTTAGATGCTAATTTAACAGTTTCTTCTCTTTTAGTTACTAATCTAACATCAACTCTGTTTTCAATATTCTCCATTGTTTTTCCAAATACTGAATTATTCATGAGTTTAAAAAAGTCTTTTTCAAAATCATTAGTTGCTTTTGTTCTTAGATTTGTATTTATTTTAATGTATTCACTTAACCATGCTCTTACTTTTTGTGATTTTTAATCCTATTCTTTCATACAATTTAAGGTTTTCATAATGGACTATATAATTTTTCTTATTATTCAAGTTGGGTACTAATTTTTCTACATTACTAATAGTTATTCTTTCAAGGGCAAGTGGAAAATTATTATGATCATCGTGTAGATTTTTAGGATATTCTAAATCAACTTCTAATATACATGATTTTGAAATCCAGTTTTTCAACTCATTTTCATCCATCTACTCAAATCCATGTGTAGGAAGTGGTTTACTCATAGCCCAACCATATAAATTGTTAGCATCTAAATACTGTATAGAAGTGGTTTCTTTACTTTTATCATATGCATCACCCATGTACTAATTATTATTAGAAGTTCCTAATCTTTTGGAGATCATACTAATACCTTCTCGTATTCCTTGCTTTATCATTAAGATTATATCATAATCACATAACAACTCTAGTTGTATTTTTGTTTTCTTTAATGCTGCATCCCAAGCTAATCCTGGTGATGTAAAATACCAAGCAGGATCTAATTTGTAACATTTCATACAAATATCTCTAAAACTTTCAAATACATCAGCGAATAACAATACATCTGAAACATTGTATAAATTATGGTAATTTCTAAATGTTTCACAATTAAACTTTTTCCATACAGTTTGTGTATGTAAATAATCTTCATCACTAATACCTTCATCATTTATTCTCGAAAAGAATGATTCTTTTTATGATAATTCTTTTTCAAACAATTTACTAATTGAATCAACCCAATCATATGGGTAAACAACTTTTCTTAGTAATAAATCCAATTTGTTTCCAGAATATAGTTTTCCAATATTTTAACATTGATCTTTTGTTAAATTCTTTGATAAGCTATCTAAAAGGCATAAATCTATAACTATATTGTTGTTTGACTTCAATAACTTTACCATTTTTAGTATACTCCTCAACTTTAAGTTCTTTAGAAAAGCTAATATACTTTTCTTCATTGTTTGGTATACAACTTAATTTTCCTCCTTCTGATTTTTTTTCTGACAATTTCTTTATAAACAGATAAATTATGAAAAACTACTGGAATGAATTTTGGAATTTTAAATTGCAATCATTATGAGCAGCACCACTATATTTACCAGTAATATGACAATGATCGCATACTTTATCTTCTTTTAATAATTCTTCACAAATGTGACATACTTTTGCACTATTCAAATTATTTTTGTCATATGAGTATATATCATCTTTTTTGGAAATTTAATCAAATCACAAATCTTTTTAATATCTCTTTCTAACATCTTAACAAAAACTTGTGCAACATCATCAGTTTCACTACTTGCAGTAAATGTGACTGGACTCCTTTGATAAAAACTTTTATCAAAACATTTAATATAATAACAGAAGGAACTTGGAGTATGTATTTGATATTGTTTAGTTTAAGAGTCATTTAGATTTGGTGGGCAAGCGTTGATTGATTTAATAAAACTTTCAAAGTCATAATATACTACAAACGGTACTCTCATAGATCTATTGTAATCAGTAAACTTCATTGTTGAATTTGGTTTTGGAAGTTCAATATGTACTGAATTATGTGTCACAATACAACTTATGCTTTGATAAAGATTGTTCAGTATTAAATCCTAATAAACAATTTCTGCAATAGTATACAGCACACAGATGTTTAGATGTTTGTGAAGA